CGAGGGAACTAATTTTTAATTCATGGCCATGATTTACTAAATTGAGAAAAAAAAACTTAATTTGTGGCTACAATTTACTAAAACGAGGGAACACATTTTTAATTCATGGCCACAATTTACTAAATTGAGAAAAAAAAAAAAAATTTGTTGCTACAATTTACTAAAATGAGGGAACAAAATCTTAATTTGTGGCCACGATTTACTAAAACAAGGGAACAAATATTTAATTCATGGCCACAATTTACTGAAACGAGGGAACACATTTTTAATTCATGGCCACGATTTACTAAATTGAGAAAAAAAAAACTTAATTTGTAGCTACAGTTTACTAAAACGAGGGAACAAAATCTTAATTTGTGGCCACGATTTACTAAAACGAGGGAACAAATTTTTAATTCATGCCCACAATTTACTGAAACGAGGAAACACATTTTAAATTCATGGCCACGATTTACTAAATTGAGAAAAAAAAGCTTAATTTGTGGCCACGATTTACTAAAACGAGGGAACAAATTTTTAATTCAATGTAATGTTTTGGGCTCCAAACATTTCTAAGGAATGAGGAAACAGTTGACACATCAATGAAACATAAAAGATAACTCCAAGTTTTCCAGACTCCAAAAGAGCATTTTTATTTTGTTTTTGCGAATCACTCTGGTCACCAGTTTCCAATTTCAGCTCACATTACCACCTTCCAGATTCATGCGCATGTGTGGCATAATCTCCAAACTCTTTCCGTTCCCCTCACCACCGGCTACAAATCTCCTTCCCAGCAGCCCCCTCACCGCCCGAGAAATGTCTTCACACTGCCTCCTCTCAGAGGGAAAAGACTGACCTTGACGAGACGTTCCTCCTCTTAAACACAGATTACACCAAATCTTTCTCCAGCACACACGCTTCCAGAAATTCATTTTTCCACCTCTGATGCTTTTATATATCAGCGGCAGCTATTCAACAGCACAGGACACTCAGATTACAGTCAGATTTACTGTGAGGCAGCATAAACACTTCTTTATCTCATTAAGCATGCATGGATTCATGAACATGAATATTCAAACATTCATATGAATATTCACAAAGTACCGCTCAGTTTCTCAACCTTTACTCTTTTCTTCTTTCTTCAGTCACACACACTATAATCACATGCATAAACAGAGGAGAGTAGGGTGTCTTTTGCTCGAGTTTTCTAACAATTACAATCAGCTCTTTCAGCAGTGATCTGCAGCGGTTCCCAGCATGCATCAGCACCTTGTGTTTGCGACCCTGTATGTGTTAGGGGTTGAAATGACATTGTTCATCAGTGCTGTTCTGATCTCATTTTGCTCTGATTGTAGGCGAGCAGCGAAGTTCAGCTGTCAGAGAAAGCAGATCTTTTAATAAATCACAGAAGAGCCACTGCACAGAAACCATCTGCCCATGTATGAATATTACCAGTCGATCCTGACAAGGCTATACACACATTACTGACAGTAACATTAGCCCTACTCTTACATTAAGTCTGGTCTGCTTATTTGCTCCAAGAACCACCCACTTGACTGACATGACACGTAACACGACCAATCACAGAATGTTTTTTTATATACAATGTCTATGGATTGGTAAATCTGAAACTGGACATAACTCTGAGAAAATGGGATATACAGTGTTCAAGTAAATTCCATAAAGCTCAAACATGGTTGTTGGAAGGATGGATGGACGGATGAATGGTTGGTTGGATTGATGGTTGGTTGGTTGGTTGGATGGATGGACGGATGTATGGATGGTTGGATGGATGTATGGATGGATGGATGGTTTGTTGGTTGGATGGATGGATGGATGGATGGTTGGTTGTTTGGACGGATGGATGGATGGTTGGTTGGTTGGTTGGATGGATGGATGGACAGACGGACGGATGGATGGATGGTTGGTTGGACGGATGGATGGATGGATAAATAGATATATGCACTTGTAATTAAAAACAAAAAAACAAAAACAGAATGAAAAATGCTGCAGAAATGATGTTACATTACCACATGTTTTTTGCATGAATAATTGTAATAATTTCACTGTATTCATGCTGTATGCTCAATATAATTTCTATCATAAGTCAGTAAAAACATTTTTTTTAATCAATAGTTAGTATTTTTTACAGCCCAAACTACAGTATTGCACCATAAGATTATTACTAAAACATATAATAAATTATGAAAAAAAAATTTCAAGAAAAAAATGTATTGTCCTATTTAGTTTATATGGCAAAGTAACAATCACGTATATGATTTTATTTTACTTCAAGATGCTTTATATTAGTTTTGTCGTATTTCTTTAACCTGAACTCAGCTGGCAGTGTTTAGCGGAAATGTAACTGGATGTTTTTATGGTGTGTGATCTGACAGAAAAAGTAGAGAGAAAATGGAGCTTCTTAGAACCTCCACAAGACTCTGAGCAGCAAAAAAACATCTTTCAAAAGAGGACAGAGAGAGAGAGAGAGAGAAAGCACGGCCCAAGCATCTCATCTCACTCTCAGACAGAAATTGAGCTCCAATCTTTTTCCCTGTTTTTTTTTTTCGAGGAAGAGATTCATACATGCAGAATCTAGCGTATCGTTTGTCTTCAGTCATGCGGAATGCCGTCCGTCAGCTTTACTGCAGCCTGGTTTCCTTTCCGCACAGTCACGATAAATGATGGGAGAACAGAAGCAAGAAAAGGAAAAAAAGGCAGAGAGAGAGAAGGAGGGCTGTAATGTTTTTGCACAGATATGGCTTTCAAATACTGGCTTATGGGTTGGAATTCATACGCTATCATTCAAAATGACAAACCAAAATAATACAAGGATCATTTAGCCCGCTGCTTCGGACGGATCCTTTTTACTTCATGGTTTCTACCAGCTACAGAAGTGCAAAAGCAGCCCAGCATAAAGTGAACTATTTTACAACCAATTACATGGAAATAGCCATTACAGCACGTTGGAACTAAAAGACTCAGAGTCCATCAAATAAAACTCAAACAGTCCTGCATAGCCAGACTTTTGACTATCAGCATAAATACTAGCCCACACCACAACTCATTCTAGCCAACTGAGTAATAGCAAAAAATGAATTGTAATTACAATTATTCTCCTCCTTGACTATAGGTAAGTTAATTCTTGACAATCTACCAACAAACTACAAAGTATGTAAATTTTTTTTGCTTCTTGTAGTTTCATTGGCCATTGCTCTATCGCTAATAGTACACTCATTTGACAAGTTAAATACAGTTTCAAATGTGTTGTAGCATCACATACACTAATGTGCAAAAAAGTTGTATAATAATATATGCTTGGTTTTAGAGACAGAAATAAAATCAACATGCATGTAAAGCAATTAGCAGTCAACTGAAACTTTTTAATGGCCGACAACAATATTGAGAAAGCTGGTTGGTTGATATTATGCCTATATATGCATAGTACAATTCAATGATGTACACAAACTTTCTGAACCAAAAAGAACACAAATTCACAACAAAATTGACACTTTGCACAATTAATTGCAAAATATGAACAACAAGGTTATTCTCCTCCTTGACTTTAGATAAAATGGTGAAATTTGATACGTGTCGTAGCATCTACACTACAATTTGGTCATTTTGTTGTATACTTAAAACATTAGTGTACAAAAAAATATGTAGTATTATAATGTACCCTAGTGAAAAATAAATATACTAAAATGTATTTGAAATGCAATTATTTCATGCTAAGTATACTACAAATACATTTACGTATTATGCACTTTATAAAAATACCCTGCAATTGTACTTTTAGTATACTAAGCTGGTATACTTAAAGTCTGCTAAATTGGGAGAACTAATTTTGTACTTAATGCACTTTAATTGTGCAAAAGTAGTGCTGAAGTCCAACTAAATATATACTGAAGTACATCTGATTGTGCTAAAATGGAACTACTGCAAGTATACTTAGGTGCACTTTAAATTAAATATCTTGCATTTAAAGAACGAGATATTATTCAAAGATCATACAATCTTCGGCAACAGTGACATTGAAACACATTTTAGGCTTAATATTAAGAAATGAGCATTGTGCACAAGTAGTACTCCAAATAAAGTTTAATTATAATTTTTATATCAGTAAGTCTTGAGCGATATGTCAGTAAATATGTTAATAGATTTGAACTATACTTGGTATGAAATAAATGTATTTTAAATATATTACATTTTTACTAGGGTATGCTTGGTTTTAGACAGCAAGATCAACATGTAAAGCGATTTTGACAACAAATTGAGAAAACCGGTGAGCCGATATAATGTCTATATGCATACTACAATTCAATTATATCAAACGAGATGTACACAAATGTTGCATCCCAATGCTTTATACACTATGTACTCATGTATGTATATGCAAAGTATAATTAAATGATAGGATCAGTACTTTCTGAACTGAAAAGAACACACAAATTTATGACAAAATTGATTTATTATGTATCAACAAAAATATCTGAAGAATTCGGAACTGAAAAACTGCCTCAAACAATCCCACAATTCTCTCAAACTCCAGCTCAAGTTCTTCCTCAGAAACGCTCATTTTAGCCAACCCAGTACCTTGTAAACAGGACAAACCACTAAAAACCTGAGAACCCTGAATTACATAAAGCCAGCCAATCAGATTACATCTGAAGCTGATACGTGTCAGTGGGCATGTTTGTTCTGCTCCGACTGGGTTTGTGGGTGCGCACACATTTGGGCGTCTCCTGGGGGCCCCCGAACGGTTCAGACGAACCCCTGTAAACTCCTACGGAAGCTGCTGTCTGTCAGATATGCTGACATCATTCACCGTGCTCACAGACTGTCAACGCGGCACCTCTTTTATTCCGAAATCAACTCTATTTCTTTTCTGGCACATTGGCTTTAATATGATTTAAAGTGTAGCTGCAGGAGACGGCAGTATACTGAGGAAAACTACCGTGCCAGCACTTACATAACATCACAGAAACACAAATCACTAGGAGAGGCTGAGTTGTACTCACGCTTCTCTGCTCTTTAGGATGGAAGCTGCTGGTTCACAGGGAATCTTGCAGGAGATGGAGACACGTTCTCTCCTGCGTCCACATTCCCCTGTCTTAATGTCTCCTCAGTGGAAAATCCCAGAACAGATGAAACTGCAGTGAGAAAAACAAAGCAGAAGAGAATGTTTTATGACTAATGCTACAGTATGTCATCATTTGGGTGCATTTCATTTGATTGAATTGTCTTTGAATATATATTTCATTTATTAGCCGTGTTCACTAAGCCAACCATCACTATTGGTACACTCAGGGCCATTTCTAGCCAATTTGACGTCCTAGGCGAAATCCCTATTGCCCTATATATATATATATATATATATATATATAATTCTTTTCAAACACCAGTTGCTTGTCACATTCAAATTGGTTGTCATAGTAACGGCACTAATTTGTGGAGATTCAGTGCATTGAGTTCCACAAATCTGAATGCATTAT